CTCAGGGAAGCATCTTTGACAGATGTTGGACTATAAACAGCTTGTTCATGTAGCCCATTAGCAAACCCTTGGGCCAACAGTGGAGGCTTTGATTGGGCCTGTTCTTAAAAACCAGCCAACCACATCGTCAGTTTCCTGGCCCTCAGTGAAACATAGTGTTTGGATTAGGATCCATTCAGAGATTAGAAAGATTCATGCCAAAATACATCCAAATACACTCATTTGATTGATGAGGCCCGTGTCTCTCAGGTTCAACAGCCTCAGGATTCTGAAGGCAGGGGCCGTTAAAAAAAAAAAAAAGAAAGAAAGAAAAACCTCTCATACGTGTCTCTTGGTGTTGAGTTTCCTGTCTCAGTTTCCGCTTCCTGCTTCACTTCTGCTGCCTGTTCTGCACGTACCCTCGGTGCAGACCCTCTGTAGATTCATCATTAAATGACTGTAATTGACTCTGCATTAAATGAAGTCCATCAACCGCCGCTCTGATTCCGACTTCTACCTGTTCCTCTGATCTCCCTCTACAGGATAATTCAGAGCGTTTCAGTTTCGCAAAGAACTGATTTTAACACAAACCACATTAACAGAAGAGTTTGTGCTTTAACGAGTGAATGAAACAAACAATAAAAAAAAAATGGTACCTGAATGCACCTCGTGTGAGAGTTGCAACTTTGGCATGACGACACCATAATTTGTGTAATCCTGGCACTTTGGGTCTGTTGTTAAACGTCTTATTCTTATTATTTTATTTATTAATTTTACTTGATGTGCTGTGTCAACGTATACTTTCTCACTCTGATTGTTTCTTATCCTTGTGTACAATTCCAAGCTGCACCACACTGTACTGTTTACGTGAGTTAATTTATGTCAATGAAGAAAAATGGATTTTGTAAATTTTTGTACTTCATGATCTTAAAAAAAAGGCAACCTTTCCTCTGCAGTAGTTTGTGGAAGTATTTACAGATATCACACCGCTGCTTTCCAGGATGTCTATAAATACTTCATGACGGCAATTTTAAGGACGTGATCATTAAGCACAAAAATCCTCCAAACTCCATTAGGCACAGATTACACTGTGGTTTCTAAACTACTTCTTTTCTCCCCCTTTCTCCTCCTGCACAGCGATCCAAAATAGCAGTGTACGAGAAGATGTGGTCGTACATGAAATCTGCCGAACCCTCGGTGTTTGTTAAGACCACGCCCGATGGCGTAGCCCGGGTAAGAAAGTCGAAAGGCAAGTTTGCCTTTCTCCTCGAGTCCACCATGAATGAGTACATCGAGCAGCGGAAGCCGTGCGACACCATGAAAGTGGGCGGGAACCTGGACTCGAAAGGATACGGTGTGGCGACGCCCAAAGGCTCAGCATTAAGGTGGGTGGGATAATATAACAATATCATCCGTGTTGTTATAGTATTCCACCTACCCTGATGTCCTCTGTTGTCATTCTCTCCTCTTCTTCTTGTTTTTTATTGGACGCAGAGGTAACAGTAGAAAATGCATTTAAGAAGCGTAAAAGGCTAAAGAGTAACACTGAATGTTTTTTCATAGATGTTTTAAAGGTACTCTATCTTGCAGTAGGTCAACGCAGTAGAGATTTTAAGGTTAAAGCTAAGACTCGCGTCATATTTATGTCTCTCTTATTGTTGCCTTCTCTCTCTCCCTCAATCTCCCCCTCTGTCCCTAGTGCTGTCCTACCTGACTGTTGTGTTGTCACTTTTAATTTAACAGTTCAATGGTTTTTCAATTTAGCCTTTAAAAGCTGCGCTGCCATTTGTGACGAATGTTAATTGCATGATGTTTGTTGTTGTTACTTCTCTTCTCAATGACAAGTGTCCCCATCCCGCACACTTCAGTTTTAAACTACGTAACCCTTCATGCCACCTTTTCCAAGATTTAACACTGTCTGTATTTGATATCAGCCTTTCTTATCACAGCGTAGTCTTTAAATTTTAAAAGGAAAAAAACAATTTGTCTGATTAACAGATATCACCCTGAGCATAAGCTCCTGCTTTGACAGTGGTGGTCTCAGTACCTATTTTATGATGGTTAGTACTTTGCATCAGATTTTTTTTTAGGGACTTGTGCATTTTCTTACAAGTTATGTTTTATCGTTTCAAGAAATGCTGTTAACCTGGCAGTTTTAAAACTGAATGAGCAAGGCCTCTTGGACAAATTGAAAAACAAATGGTGGTACGACAAGGGAGAGTGCGGCAGCGGGGGAGGTGACTCCAAGGTCAGCCTCGATGTCACCAAAATCGGGTACCATAGTGCAGAGTAATCGGCAAGGCTGTTACGACGACCCAACCATAACCAGAGCAACTGTCCGTCCCAAACCACCTGCTGCTGCCTGAAGGCAGGACCAGAAGCAAATCAAGTGCCAGTCTGACCAGGCGTCTGAACAGCTCTGATCAAACTGTGGACGATTTGGTCTGCTTAACCAGAGAAACGTTCATCCAGTATCAAGGAATATAGTTTAGATTACCACCCAAGAAAGTTTGAGTTTGGTTTCTTTGTCTTTGGTAGGACAGGTCATTTAGTTTTGGCTGATTGGACAGGGAACCAGGGTCACATGGTGGAAGAGTGGTTAGTGCTTTTACCTTCCTACAAGAAAAGTCAATCGTCTATTGGTTTATTCCTGGTTCTGAATGGAGTTTGTATGTTATTTCTCTGAAGTTTGTAGGTTTATTCCAGGTACTTGCAGGTCCGGCCCTCACAGAAGGTTGCAGAGTTTTTGCCAGAAATAATTTTCCTTAATTTGTTCCACATTTCTCAGATTCGGGTTGTGTTTTCAGTTGAGTTCCGTGGACATTAGAAGCTTTAGCTGTGTGAAGCTTTAATGTGTTGACGGGGGGAAGGGACGGGGAGGGGGACCTGGACCTGGTACCAATATTTACTTTTGTACGTGTTTCTGTTGGCATGCCCTGAACCGATGCTCTGTGGTGAATTCAGCCGTCTCAGGTGCTGCCACTGATCTTTAGCATGTCCAGGTGTATTTCACAGTTAGCCTCTGGTTCCTGGCTTGTTTTTTTTACTCTCTAGGCCTCGGTGGAAAGACCTGATCAGGTGGAATAAAGCAGCCTGGAGCTGCTCTCGTTCCAAACAGCGCACACCGCTTGGCGCCGTTCCACTCACAGCACCGTGTTCCAACAGACAATAGGAGATGCACATAGCCATGTGCACGGTGTCAGGCACACCCACTCACACACAGTTAACACAGCTTTTTTCTGCCCTCAGGCACAACAGAGTGTAGCTTAGATTGAGTTTCAGACACCGAGCATGTTCCGGGGTAATTGCATTGTTAATCAATGTCTCTCTGAGCCAAGACAATGGTCTGGTCTTCACAGTCCGTTTCTTCAGATTGGCTATGAGGGATATACAGTGGTGTAATCTCCTTTCAGTGCATTATGCATTGCATGGATCCCCTTGGGGAACATTGTTCCCTGTGAGAAGTCAGGTCACTCATTTATCGATGCACTTCTTCTCTCGACACCAATCCGCCTTTCCCTCTCACAAAGCGATTGACCTGGAATCCCGACTGATGATTTTATTGACACTGGAAAATGTGATCTTTATCTGGCTCTATGATTGTTTTTTCTTCTCTAAAGTACTTTATGTACTCCAGAGTATGATAGTAATTCAGGTTGACATGCTGTATTGGTAGGTTATGATTGAATACTTAGCGATAACAAACGGCAAGAAAGAGAAGAGAGAGACGCTACAGGCGTGTGTGAGTGGGATTAGTCCACAGAGGAGTGGAACCCTGAGCGGTTTGATTAGGAAACACTCAACTGACACTAAGCTAGTGTCATTTTGTGAAGATAACATTTTTTTTATTTTTTTTTTGCTGAGCTACATTTAAATATGGCCCATGTTGAGTTCCTGGCTGGTTTGATCCCTGCTCTCTGGATACTGCAGTTCCTGCTGCCCCCATCTTGAAAAGGATAAAAAAATTTTTAAAAAAACTATATTGTTTGCAGATGACACTGACATCTCTGGAGAAAGGAAACCTGAAGAGGTGGAGGTTTACTTCAGCCAGAATACATGTAAACAAGACTGAGGCGAGTGAGACAATAAAGCTACCAGGAGTAGAGGTAGTAAAGATCGATGAGTTTGAAAACCTATGGTCAACTGTCCCGGGAAATGTAGAGTGCACAAAAGTGGTAAAGAAGAGGGTGAAGGCAGGGTGGAATGGATGGAGATGAGAGTCAGGGGTGATGTGTGATAGAAGAATAACAGGAATGTTGAAAAAGGAAGTTTTATTAGACAGTAGTGAGACCTGCTATGATGCATGGTTTAGAAGACGAGGAAGGTTAGGTGTTTAACTTTGGGAAAGTTAGTAGAGAACTCTGTTTTTTTTAACTGTGTTTAAAGCTGTTCAGAAAAGCCTGTGTCTGCCCCCACTTACCCTCCCCCCCAAAAAATGATAAGCCCTTAGTCCCTAATTATTTTTACAGACTTGCAGCCTGTACGTTTCTGTACCTGCTCGTCACCTGCTAACAGCGTCTGCCGATTACTCAAAGCGATACGGGTAGGCCCTGGCATTAGACTAGGGGTTACGAAGGTAATAGGTAGAATGCCTGCTCTCTGTGATGTTGACGTAGCCAGGGGCCCTGCTTTATCGCTTTGTTAAGTATGTAGTAGTTTAAAAGTTGAATAACATAAAATAACATAATATAATGTTATTTATGTTATTTCCCACGTGAAGAACTCCTGTAAACCTTGCAGTATTGAAACTCAGTGAACAAGGCATCTTAGACAAGCTGAAAAACAAATGGTGGTACGATAAGGGTGAATGTGGAACCAAGGACTCTGGAAGTAAGGTCAGTCGCTGCAGGTCTTTTGTACTGATTCCAAATTGCATTTTGACGTACTGTTCATATGCAAGACAAATTCTCTTTTCTAACATTTATAGAATACATTTTTTCATTTGCTACACATTTTTTTCTATCTTTCCTTTGTATTTTTTTTATTTTTAATTTTTTGCCACCGACTGTAATCCAGTTAATTGTGTGGCACAAAGATGGCACTGTTTCCCTGACTAACTTTTTTCTTTTGTATAACTGAATACGTTTCTTTTGATGCAGTAAAAATAAATGTTTTGTAAAAAAAAGAGTAATGATAACATTAAGGGGGATTTACCCAGAGTGCCTTTTCAGATGCACCATTCCTACTCAATCACAACAGTTAAAGTTGATGATCAATGCTATTTTTGCTCATTTTCACTCTTGACATCCATGATACTCTGACCATTATGCTACTGTTTCTATTTACCAAACACTTAATGAAAATTTGATTTATTTGTGTTGTTACTAGCTTGCACCCAGATGCGTCTATTAGGTTCCCTAACCTCCCGCGGTGTGACGAACGAGCAAAGCCTCATGGCCGTGAAGAGTTATTCAAATCCAACATCTCCGAGCAGCGAGTGTACCGTAGGGTGTCCTTCACGAGAAATAGAACTCCGAGGCTGTGTTTGCACATCGCGGGAAGTTGAGGAATGTAATAAACCCACTATTTAACCCTCTGAGACGCAGCAGCAGGTCATGGTGGGCGGAGCAGCGCGGTGCGGCGACATCTCCTCACTCATAGGGTTAAACTGCAAATAGTAAAACTCTAATGAACAAATTTTTAATGAATATGTTTGGTAGATAAGCAGCAGCAAAATGGTTGGATCAGTAGTGATTCTTTAGTAGAGCTATCATTCATCTATTATGGATTTGACTGTACTGTATGACAATGTTGCCATTAGAGTTATACGTACATGTCTGAAAGATGATATTTTTGACAAAAAAAAATGATAGGGATTTTCAGAGCTGTTGACCTACGCGATACTGACCAGCTTCCTAACATGGTCAAGAAGAGACATAAGATTTAGTTCAGGGAAGTGTCAAGTCTACATTCACCAGCAGACAGAGTAATGAAAGTTGGAATTTTTTTTTATAAAAATAGAAAAGATTGTTTGAATATATCAGTAAACAGGATATTTAGAGTAGTAGAATTTAGACAGACTGCACGTAAAGTGAATGTTTCTAGCAGTACTTTGTAGCCTTCAACATTTTGTAGCATTAGTTTTTAGCGTTTTTACATCTGACAGTGAGGCCACAGTTTGTGAGGTTCAGTGTGTAGGACATAGGCTGTGTTTTCTTCTGTAGACCTGGCTCCACTGCACGTCCCTTAACTCCGTTTGTACTTTCCCTCAGGACAAGACAAGTGCTCTCAGTCTGAGCAATGTGGCGGGTGTCTTCTATATTCTGGTTGGAGGGCTAGGGCTGGCCATGATGGTGGCTCTGATAGAGTTCTGTTATAAATCACGACAAGAAACCAAACGGCTGAAATTGGCCAAGAATGCCCAAAATTTTAAGCCTGCTCCCCCGACCAACACCCAGAACTTTGCCACATACAGAGAAGGCTACAATGTGTACGGAACCGAGAGCGTAAAGATCTAGAGGTAAGTAGACGGAAACCCCCGCAGAACGAGGAGACATGTTCTGCGATAGTCATACCTTGTTGTTGTTGTTGTTGTGAAGCCGCAGTTTGTGATGATCATTGTTGTCTTGTTGGAAGCCGCTGTTTGTGATGATCATTGTTGTCTTGTTGGAGGCGTTTCAAGCTTTTTTTTTTGCATCTATCACGTTTGTGTAAGAGATGTCTTAGTTCTTCAAATTAGGAAATCCTTAGAAATGATACCATCTTATACCATGTTCATCCTAACATGGAAAGTCACCACATCACTGAATGTTGTCTGTCCAATTTCAGATTTCATGTTCCCAGCCGCACACCTGACCACGATTGTCTCCTCTCCCTTTGTCGACACAGGTTGTGGCAACACTTTGATTGGTCCTTACGACTGTGACTAAACATATACAGTACTGAAGGACAAGATCACGGGGGATTAAGTTCCAGAGCCAAATCCTTTGTATGTTGACACAGCATGATAATCTGCAATGATGACACGACTGGACTGGTCACGTGAAGAACCGATTGCGGTTCCTTCCTCTCAGTGCCTTATGGAACTCTGTGTCCAAACCAACGCAACTCATTCACAGTGATGTTGCTTTTTCTTTGCTTGAGACTCATACGAAACAGAAGAATGGTGCAGTGATTTCACCGTATATTTATATATGTACATATACACCTACATGTACATGTATACATATATATGAACGACAGAAACTAAAGCCATCATTTGCAACCCTAAGCACATTTTGAAGTGCCAGAACGACGACAAATCTTAAGGGACAAGCGTCCAATTGGTTTCTTGAAATCTGCGCCGATCAAATCGCGCATCGTCCTCCAGCTGCCTCATTTTCGCCGACCTGGCCACATGTGTCCACATACGTTTATGAGATCCGCTCAGTGCACTGTAACACACCGGTTATTCGACCACAGCTTTTATACTGCTGTAAGTCCCTCACGGTGACCTCGGAGGTGACCTCATTTGTGTGAAACGAAGACATTTCAGCCCAAAAAAAATGACCGAGAGTGTGTTGTTTGTACTCCAAACTCTGGTGCTGCTGCCACTGTCTCCTGAAGGTTCCACGGGACTCATGAAGATGAGAAGATGATCTGGTTGGGCTTTTTGCGCACTCCACAGCCAGGTCATATTTCGCACTTCCAATACTGCCAAGAGTGTGTTTTGTATGACGAATTGTGTATAAAGATGAGAATCATGCTTGGTTTAAAACAAAAAAAGAGAGAAAATCATGACAAGTCAAGTTAATTCATATTGTTTGTAAAATATCAAAACGACTCACGGACGTCGGCTGAGAATTTCCCTGAAGTCTTCTGTACATGAGAACAAAAAACAAAACAAAAAAAACACAAAAACAACATGAATTCAACTGTAGATGAACTGCAATCCAATTAAGGGATAACAGTAATGGCTTTTAAACGGTAGTATTTTTGGATTACCTTAATGTTTCCTTTTACAACTGCACATTTTACGATGAGCTGTGCTTTTAATTTCCTTCATGAGCATTTCAGTGTTTGGTGACTTCACTTAGTTAAATGGAAAATATACTGACTATGACTACAAGGGAAAATAGATTTGTTACAGGTTATACGGAGCGGGGTGGGGGGGTCCTGACACTTAGCACATTTCAATGACTGCTGTGATAATTTCCTCCTGAAAAGACTGTGATTCCATGGGGAGCAATCTGCGTAACCATAACCTGAAACTATGGTCAGATAGTTTTATATATTTAAAACAAACAAAAAAAAGAATATTTAAAGAGAAGAAAAACTGTGTACATTTAGCTAAATGAGAATTATTTATATTACACAATAAAAAAGATGGTTTCCCGCTCTTTTATTCATTTCTTTTCTATAAGAAATTGCATGTGGATTACGCGATGCTTGACGAGCGCTGCTCCTCACAAACCTCGACCATAGGTTAACTTTTTAGAAAAATCCCTGACCTGATTACTCTTTTGTAATTCAGATTCACTTATTAATTTTACTTTATTTCTTTTTTTTTTTTTTTTTATGTAAACCACACCTTAAGCCGAAACAAAGAATCACCAGGCGAAGTAGTGGGAACAAAAGACCATGATCATCATCTTCTGAACCTCCTGAATGAGGCGCTGTACATACAGAATTTTAATACATTTTGTAAATAAATTGTACAGAAAGGGATGTGTTGTTTTTGTTGTTGTTGTTGTTGTTGTTGTTGTTGGCGTCGTCGTCGGTTCAAGTGTGTGCGGTTTTTCTCTATAGCTGGGATTAACACGGCGTGCTTAACTCCAGTATCAGCGCCCCCTGCAGACAAATACACAAACATTGAGGTTTTATTTTTGTAATGGTCTGCTATTGAGCCGTTAGTCATTGGAAGTATCTGTGCATGTGTTGGATCAATAGTCATCGCCATCTGCTTCACCCCAGCTCTCCTGCTGTGCATCCACTGATTGAAGGCTTCATTGACAGCTTCATCGTCCTCCGCTGCTCCCTCTGTCTTCACAGGACGCTCGCTGACTTGATCAATAATGTATTATTATAACCACAAAGTGCTTACCAAGCAAACTGCACACGCGCCGTTCGTGTGGTTTCCAAGACAAATGCCCTTTTTTTTTACTTGTTTAAGCAGAAATCTGAAAAGATCAAAACTATATTTCCCTGACGATTCGACGAAGGGCAGTAAAGTGCGCATCAGCGTTAATGCCCTGATTAACCCCTCGCTGCAGGTGCATATATATATATATATATATATGCTTCCCTATAGATCAGCCGGACAATGTGCAATTTTACTGGTCTCTGGGCTGCATTCAGAGCTGAAATGAATTCCTCCTTTTCAGATATCGTCACGACTCCGGAACTGCCGGACCTGATCCAATCCCAACACTACTGTCATTTATAACATTGTTATTTAAAATCAATAGATTCTGCTACATTAGCATACAAGCTCTTTTGCTAGTCGTAAAGTTGTTTCTACGACTAAACTGTTTTGCATTTCAACAGCTCTAAATCTGTGCCGAAGCAGAAAACCTGAATATATATATACATATATATACGTACATATATGTATATATATACAATATATGTATCTGTGTATGTGTATATGTATAAATATAAATATATACTATATATGCATTTGTGTATGTAAGTAGTACACATATAGTAGTGTACATATACATACTGTATGTGTGTATTTATACATATATATGTACGTATATATATATAAATACACTTCATGTTAATTAACAAACTAAAGGACTGTGTGTTGGTGTGTTGTGCACGTTGCTGTGTGCGTGTGTGTTTTCATCACAGACTCCATAATTCCGTATCATATTTACTGCAGCTCTCTCGGAGCACTGCCTCTCCCTCTATGAACTGCTACTGTACAATTCAAATGTGCCGTTTCTGACAGAGCTTGAAAGGATATTTCTTTTTTTTTTGTTCTTCCTTTGCTCCACTGCCTCTCCTTTTGTCATTCCTTTTTATCTCTCCTTTCTCCCCCTCCTCCTCCCAGCCTGGACCGCTTTCAAACAGAAACAAGACGATGTGGAGAAAGATGTTCTCATAGATGGTGCTGCAGTGCAGCACGCGATGCTCTTGAGAATATTCTCTGGAATTAGTTTAGTCATCTCATAAAGTGGATTACACCAAGTTCCAGTATTTATGCCCCAAGAATAGGAACAAAAACAACAGGCAACGAGCAAGTGCAGGGGAGACAGAGGTGGACGGGAGAGGAGGTGGGAGGAATGGGACCTTTCATTCAGAGAACAGATCTGCCAAATCAGAATGGCAGAAGAGGACATTTCCATTCTTACGGGGGACAAATAATGTTCCCCCGCTGCGTCATCACACATCTTTTCGTGGCTGGAAAAGTCAATCAGCTCTAACATGAGCCGCTGAGGCGACAACGTGCCGGTGTGTTGGTGTGTGTGCGTCTGGGAAAAAGGGAGAGAAAAGGCTAGAAAGAGAGGAGGACGTATCGTGGGGAGGGTACTCTGATTACAGCCATTGAGGAGAAGGGGGAAAAGCTCTCTGCTTGACTGGCTCCATCACTGCAGCGTTGGGCCCTGGTCCACCTTGTGTCTCTATTCAAGGACACAATGAATGAACGGCTTTTCAACAGGATTGTTCTTTTCCCCTCGTCCGTTCACTTTTGGCTTAAGTGCACCTGAATGGACCTAGACAGATTATATGACATTAGTCAGCCCTCCAGCCCTGGAACACGTCTGTGCTTTTCTCTGATGCAGCTATACTTGTGTGGACAAAAAAATATATGCTTTTGTTTGGGGGACATTTTTCAGATTCTCACAGAATGAGGGAGTTCTTCGAGGTTCAAGATTTTGTTTGCAGCTGGGCAAAAAATAGCATTAGATTAGAGTCAAAATAAGAATAGGGATTAGGAATTTGTTGATAATTGTAAGAGTAAGGGGCCATTGTGTCAGTGTGAAGTGCACCAAAAGGGTGCTTGTGTGTGTGAATGTGTGTCAGAGAATGGGAGTGAATGAGTGAGTGAGGGTGAGAGAGGGAGTTAAGAAATAAAGAGGTCATAAAGTGAGTGAGGGTGAGAGAGGGAAGGGAGTTAAGAAATAAAGAGGTCATAAACAGACTTTTGACATCAGTGCCTTTTCCACCATTTATTGCAATTTCTGCCTGGCATACTTCCCCGCGTTGCTTTGTAGCGCCGTTCCAAACTAGCGGTGGATTGTGCTCTTTGAAGCAGTAACGGCAGAGATGACAGAGATGTCGAGAAATTACACATGGAGTTCATATGTGGAAGGACTGGGGCCGTGTGTAAAAGTGTGAAATATGAAAAGAAAATAACACAGAAACGCCAGGAACAATCTGCTCCGGATAAAAGATCGGATAAACCTAGAACATCAAACTTAACGGCCTCGTACGGAAAGGTTTACATCTGTCATAATTCGTGTCGTCGTCAGCAGTGTGTGCAAAACACCGTCTCTGCAGATGGCCAGACATCTGGATGTGATTGGTGTTCCCAGACATACAAATATTATCATGCTTGTTGAGGAGATTTTCAAAGTCTATTAGATCGATAAGTTCAAGATTTCAGTCATTTAACTCCGCCGTCACATGGCTAGGCTAAACCATTAGCATAACAGCTAACATATCTGGCTCTTTACAGCACGTTGTAACACAAGGTGACGCACAACACAATTAATAATGATTGTACCACGGATGGTTATTGGGCTAGTTTTAGCGGAACCTGTTGGAATCTGATTCCAAAACAATATTTTTTAGTTTTTTTTTGTTTGTTTGTTTGTTTTTACACAATTTGAGAATCGTTGCCATATATTTTTTTCAATACTGTATTTCTAAGTCACTTGGACAATACTGCAACTGATCTGATATATAGAACCGTTGGTGTGATTTAAAGCTAGCTAGCAGCAGATTTCTCCGCAGCCGTGACCAAATGTGAACGCTCAAGAACTCTAATGTGACTTTGAACAACGTAATCACCAGCACAGACTGTAGATGTGCCAGGGCCAACATCTGCAGAGACCGCTGTCCTCCTGGGAGCTCTGTGCACTTCAGACTGCTGGAGTGTGGAGTTGATTGGGAAATGAGTCCTTTGATATACCAAGCACAGGCAGTCAACTGCGGTGCACACACCTGGAACGCCTCAAACTCCAAAGTGAGGTCAGGTAAAAAGGCATGCGGCACCACACCAAACCTGCTGAAAAAACACGCCAACATCGATTCAACACCAGTACATGTACAGTGTACACCTTCGTACTCGGGTTTTACCAGTTGCTCGTCTTTGCGGTGTCAGCCTGACGGATTAACGTGCCGTATCACGAAGCACGCCGAGTCACAAGTGGATTAAAGAAAAAGTCTGCTTTTAGACTTTTTCATTTCCCTTCGCCTTTCCGCAGTGACACCCAGATTGTGATTTTCCTATTCTCATTTCCAGCCAGGGAGAGCGAAGCTTGAGCTCAGGGAGGTTTTTATAGAAGATGTTGTTCCTTCAGAATGTCCTGCGGCTGCATTCCACTATTGATTGTTGAGGCGCTGTAGAGAAAATGGTGCCTGTTCCTCCAGAGGTGAGACATTTCTCAGGATTCAGAGCAGATGAAATGGATGAAGCGGGACTAGCTTTTCTGTTACTTCTTAATGCTAAGCTAACGGCTGATCTTGACCTGAATTTTGAAGTACCCATCCAGGATATATAACAGTAATTACCAGCCAGTGATTCTGACAAATTCTGGTTGGAGAAATGTCTTCTCTCATCTAACGTTGGTGTATTTTGTATCCCAACAGTGAACTGTTCTTTTGTGTTCTGTTCTTCTTTTGAATTTTGCACAATGTAAAAAGCGAAGAACCAGGATTCTTTAATGAATATGATGAAAAAATATATCTTTCTGTGAACTTTAGCCACTGCTTCTTTCTTGGATGAATGCACCTTTTATTTCTTAATAACCAAGTTAGATTACTGATGAAAGAACCTTCCTTTTACGTTTATTTCTCTCCCTTCAACCTGAGGCTTTGGAGAGGAATCGGTTTTTGTTGAAAGGTGAATTTTGTCTTTGTTTTCTCAGAAAAAAATTAATGATGGTGGCACAACAGTATTATCACTTTCCTCTGACTCTTTGGTAACGCACACGTGGTAAGAGCAGTGTTTACAAAGGTTTAATGTTCTTCATCTGCTCCATGTGCAGCCGAGGCTTCTCTCCTGATGATGAAAACCCAAACAGATGCTGGTTTGCATCAGCCTCTCTGGGTTTTACGGTGATGGACTATATTATTCTCAGCTGACTGTGAGGCCGTGGACCCTCCTAACTGGGGTCTTGTCCTCTTTAAGTGCTCCCTCCAGTTTGTGTAGCAGTCTTTTTTTGTCTCAAGCTGCTGCTATTGTCAGCAGAACTTTTCAGCACGTGTTATTTACCTGAGCTCGGCGTTCATATTTGTAGCCTCTAAATTAGCATTTTATTTTTTCTGCACTTGTTAAGACTCTGGCCAATAACAAATGTTCCCTGCGAGAACAATGAAACATAGTTTGACCTTTGCACAATAACTCACACCAGATCGATATCTGCTTTATTTCGGTCTCCACAGTGCAACCTGAACACGGCACCTCTAAGGATCTCTGACTCACTTCCTCAAAGCCTCGTTAGCTGCGCTACGGTGGAAATAAACTTTAGATAAAGTAGGCTGTTTTCATGAATGTTAATTAAGTTAATATGGGTTCATATTACAAAGGTTCTTTTTTTTCATTTGTGTTTTTCTTTTTTCCTTTTTAGTGTGTGTGCTGGGACCAATGCAGCCTGAACACAAATTCCACCCAAACACGGCAAAGAAAAAAAAAGCGGGACGCCAGTTGATCATCACTAGACCAAGGTGTTAAAAAGTGAGCAATACCATTTATTTTATCCAGTACGTTCTCTTAATGTAAAAATATTGCAATTATAGAAATGTAGTACATTAGCTTACATTCTTAATCCTTATTACCCCACGGCGAACTACAACACACACCGTGTACAGCCTGGTACACAAACCTGATACAAACACACGTGAACAAAAACCTAACTTTCCCTCCAGGAGAGCAGATAAGTGGTAACGATATCGCAATCTCATTTTCAGCATTTAAAATCACATTAGCAGGCATTCTCAGGTGAAACTGGCTTCAGAATGTGAATCTGAAAGTAAAACAAATAGTTCAGCATTAACGGTTCAATAAGGGAGACAGAAATATAACTTCACCCTGTGGTGACGTCAGAATCTCTCCTCCTCTGTGAATGCACTCTATTCCTTCCTAATCTGTTCATTAGCGTGAATTACAGTACAGTTCTGAGGACCATTTGATCAGTACTTGTCATTTTTAAATGTTATGTTCTGGCAGTGTTGGCGTGTACTGCTGTGGAACTGTAGCTCATCATAAGAACTCTAATAACCACAGCCAGTAACAGTCAATCACGGCACATCGTCTGGCTCTTAGACCTGCTGAATATTGACTCTTCTAACCCAAATTAGAACAGTAGCGCTCTATTAGATGCAACGGTGTGTCAAAACCGATGTGTTCTGGCAGTAACTGACAGCGCACGAAGTCCCATCATTGTTTTAAAATGCCATCCTTCCACGACAGCCCTGGCAAAACGAGACTGCGGCTGCAGACGTTGCTGGAATAACAAGGATGAGCAGAGTCAGAAAAGTCATTTTGTTCATTCACTGAAGCATCAGGAGACAAAAACACCAGAGTTGTTTTTGATGTGTCAGAGTCAGAGGAACAACATTTGGTAATACCGGCACGGCCTTTTATGTGTGACGAGCCCCGCGGAAAAATAAATAAAATGCATTCAGTGAGTGCGACCGTGGGAGAATAAATAAATAAAATGAAGGAACAAAACCTGCGTGAAGCGCTGCACAACTCATTACAGTGGAGAAGAGAAACGGCTCAGATGAACAACGTGGTCCAATCTTTGAACAGGATGTGATGCGTCCGTCACAGCCGCTCTTATAGAACCTAATTAGACTTTCAAAGACGCCGCGTGGTTTTCCGTGGGTGGAAAAAGAACCTGACAAAAACACCTTTGAACAGTCGTCAAAAGTTCAGTCACAGCTCCTCTTTAAATGTTATTGTGACAAACTTGTGGTTTGTGTGTGTTAAGTTGTACAGCTGTTGCTTTTGGACTCCCTTTAAGTGACAAACTCGTGGTTTGTGTGTGTTAAGTTGTACAGCGAGGAGAAACGTGCTGCATTTGTTTGCAGGTGAAATATTGGCGAAGGGATTTCATTAGAACTGGAATTTTCTGTAACAATATGCAGACGACACTCTGCTCTTATTCTACGGTTTATATCCGTCCCATTCTGAAATTTCAGACCGATGCTGAGTATTGGATTATTGAAATGAACACAGTCATGTTTCCTACAGGCTTGTGAAATACTACGTGTGTTCAGTGTATGATACCTCAGTAACAGTAGAGCGTTCTATACAATACTTACATCCAAATATTTAGCTTTTACCACGCCGTTACCAGGATGGACTGGAATAAACAAACAAACCTCAAACTCAGCAGTGTTGTTCCAGACACTCTCCGCAGACGGCGGCTGTTCACATCATTCCTGTCGTGAAAACCAAAAAGTATTGAAAGAGCCATAAAGTAAAAGGTGGCTGCTTTGTCTGACTTCACGGGTTGAAGACGAAGAGATCAGCGTCTTTTCACATTCACTGTCATTTCTTTTATTGACCATTAAGGCAAAAACACTTCTGTTTGCTTCACATTACCGGCAACATTCTGCAGGAAAGGGCTGTATGGAAGTGCCGAGCCTGCAAGAAGGCCTGGTCCAATCACAGGGACAGAGGGAGAGAGAGAGAGAGAGAGAGAGGGAGAGAGAGAGGGGATTGTTGTTCAGGAACTGCTTCATAAGAATTTCATATATTACAGTGACAGTACAATGGCTGGAATGATTTATTTCAATGGCACAGGAAGGGGTTATTTCATTAGATTTTCAGAGCCAGATGGTTTTGGTGGTTAATAAAATTTAGACCAAAACACGTAGTGTTGGATTGTTTTCAGCGCCTCAAAACATTTCTGTATGAATTCCTGCAAACTTTTCTGCTGTTGGTAGTAACTATTAAGTACATATTTAAACATGTGTTTTATTTTATATATCTTTTCAATTTGTATTAAATTTTCTGTAACAATATGCAGACGACACTCATGTTAAAATGAGGGCACAGTTTGGACAACTTTGTTGATGTAAAACTCTGTATCACATGTTGTTACTTACTTCGTGTTTTTACATTTTTAATGTCGACTGTGTTGAATGTGCTCAGTGTAGGGAGCGACTCTGGGACACATTTCATTGCATTTTTAGCTGTGAACCACGATAAACACATGCAAAGATAAACTGATCATGATTTCAATGGTAACTATGTCTTTGGAGAAAAAAAAAAGAACAGCGCCCTCACTTGACTGTAGATGTTGGGTTTTTTTTGTTAACACAAAACATTTCCCACACTCTGGAGGTAATGAAGGGAAGAGAAATGAACCACTTGAAAGAACAGAATCCTTGAGGAAGGAATGTTTCACAGGAACAAAGTTATGATTTTTTTCTTCCAACTTCACACACACAACATTCACGTCTTTCGTAGGGAGGCTACATTTGAGCCATCTCCCTCAGCAGTAGCTCAATTTAATGGAACAGTAACAGGATACTGGCCTAAAACACTGTTCTATTTGATTAGGCAGTTCGTGGCGACTGTGGACTTTGATAAAGGATTGATTTATTTTGCAGGGAGCTTGAAATAATAATCCTCGGCTAAACCTTCCTGGCCTCGGGACTCAAACTTTTAATAACGTTATGAGAGATGAGAGTAGTGCATCACTTCACTTCAAGTCTGCTGCTGCTGCTGCTCTACGACGGCCCGCTCCCATAACTCTCATGGTGAATGTCTGCTGGGGTTGTTTGTTGGTATGCCCTTGTGTTCACCTTCACCAAAGTCATGAATAATAGTTGTATTGAGTGTTTATTAAGGCTGAAGTTTTTATAGAGGTTACAGAATCCTTATTATATTTCTAGGATGTCATTAAAAACCACCAGAGAACATAAAAGGCTTTAGGCTTGGCGGGCTGCAACCAAATGCAAAATTAAAAAATTCTGTTTGGAGGGCACATAAGGGAGAGAGTGATATGAACAGGCTGAAACTACCACAAAGCACCACTGGGGGCCCATAAAATGGAGTGGAGACTGAGCCTGCTGTTAAATTATTTAAATCTGGACAGCAAAGTCCCCGCAGTTTTAGCATTCTCAATTAGCAAGTGTGGCCTTGACGAGGAAACGGCAGTGACAGCAGCAGGATCCAGTCAGAGATGTGATGGTGGACAGATGTCAGAGGAGCAGCTGAGTTACGCTTCAGTTTGACATGTGCCTTGGTCCCAAACCAATAAGTACAAGTATTGTTTTATTTGTCCTCCTTGAGTTCAGATATGATACGCCTTTAGTCCAAACACTAATCAATATCTTGATCTTAATTTTGCAGGTTTTTGATGTATTTCTCTTTGAATAATTCCATCAATTGGATTGGTCACAAACAGTGGTGGCGGGGAAAATTGGGGGCACTTTAGGATGATTACAAGTACATGTTGCTCTTGGACATTTCTTGTTGTGCGCAGCAGTCTTTGTCATATTCTTCTGTGGGACCCGTCATATTAACATTAAACCCTGCTCTCATTCATTATTGATTTAACTTATTATTACCAAAAGCCAACAAATTAAATATTTTAATAGTTTAACTTTTCTAGTACTTATTAAATCAAATTATATGTTATAAATATATATACATATATATATTGAACCCCCCACCGTCCCATTCACAGTTTGAATCAAGGCCGAACCAAGAAAACAAGAATGATTAGAAATAATCCGTCATGTGATGCTCACAGCTGGACCAGGCTCCAGATGTTTAGCCAACCAACTTAAAGCTTCATATATTTACTGTACAGACGTGATAAGTGATGTCATCAATCCTCTTTAGTAACTGCAGTCACTACCAAAGTACAAGAGCAATCGCTATTCAACGCAGCAAGTACAAACACACACACACACACACACACGGTATTCCATTTGGATGAAATAGGTGTCCGGCCTTTGCTGTCATCGTCGCACCAAGATCTTATTATTTCCCCAGCCGACGCCCGTCTCCCACAACCACAAAGCTGATTACAATTGATAACTGATATCATGTCTTAATGATGACTGGACAAAGGCCGGTGCCGTCCCAACAAGTTCTCTGATTGAATTAATGGAATTCATTAGGCCCTAGTGAGAGACTTTATAGACACCGCAACCTTATCCTGCCTCTTCATCTTCCTGGGAATTGACTATGTATGATCCATGCTCCTCCAGGAACAGGAGGAGGGAAAGGAAAAGAAAGAAAGAGAGAAAGGACGGGAGATTGAGATTAGTGAAAGACAAGAGAACGAGCCCCCAGAGAAGACAGAGGGAGAGCGGGGGGGTGTGGGTTGCGTATGAGAGGTGCTTTCGCTCCACATCTCCACTGGGAGATTGGTTCCAGCAGCAGATTACCATCAGCTTTGCACCGACTCATATTCATACCCCTGGACTAATGACCTTCACATTTGCCACATTTCATCAAAATTCTCCTGGAAAATATGCGAACAGTATCACAGCGCAATGGGAAATGACTTTTCTCCTCATTAATAGGACTAACCTGAGGCGTGATACCCACTGGGGGGCCGCGGACCTTGACTCAAACGACATGATTCAGCCGCTGCTGTAGAACCAGCAGCAGCATCAACACGCTTGCCTGTACAATATGAATCATTTACCGCCGCGCTTCAACAGCTCGCTAACACGCCGCCGTGCTTCCTGGTTGCCTCCGAGCAT